TGGGTATCTTCAAGACGGTATAGCAGGTGCAACTAAGTGTGGACCGCTTACATCTATCAAACGTTTGATCAATGAGACGCGAAGCACAAGTAAAAGGTTGCTACTAATCCAGCTTTTCACTTGAACTGAACGGTATTGCTTCATCTGCTAAACTATACATCTCTGCTCATCATTGGTATGTAACTGTTTTATTTCATCCACCACACACCACACTTCAGCGTCTGTCCCCTCGAACTGTGAGATTAAAGTTGCCGCCACGTGAGTTCAACATTCCAGAAAATGACGTTAGCAGCCTATTCATGATGGCTCTGCATGTCATTTGTTGCTATCTTTTGCTCAAATTCCTTGCTTCGAAAGGGTACAAACATCCTACATCAATTAACTAGTTGTGTGTTGTTGCATCCGTTTTGAACTTCGTTGTACTGCTCCCTCAGTAACATATCGCTTCCTTGTAGTAGCGCGTCGCACTGCTACCCTCGGATCGGCTGCCAACACCGCTACGACGATGGTTAAAATGTAGCACGCTCGGTGAACGCAATATTAGTGGAGGCGAATGTGGTCTTTTTACATTACTCGGTTGTTACACTATAGTACACGATGGAACTACGTCCGACATTTGTGACAAAGCCTTACAATGTCCGGTAATCTAATTATAGTCCGCGAATATTGACAGGGCGTAGGGAGTATGGCACGAATTGTTCATATCTACCCTGCAACTCGGGAATGAATGCATCGCAGCACTGATCCAGTATGAAGCAGGCTATCATGCTACCTCTGGATATGTCAATGCACCAAAACAGAACTAACGCGGGTCGCAGAGAGTTATATCGATGAGGCGCGGACGTGCTATGAAGCGTTCAGGGGATTGCCCTGCATGGAAAAAGGTCTCCAGAAGGCGGTTCCATGGATAATGGTATTACTTTACTTGAACTAATGGCTATACCTACATTTGTTCCTACGTCGTTTTATTGAGGTTAACTGATAGAGCATCCCCAAAATCTCTGGGAACATTGAAAACCCGCAAAATCTTTCCACTAAATGATTCTGTTGTACAGATTAATCTAACCACATAACTGGCATTGTCTCACACAGTCGTTAAAGATGACTTTATTTATTTCGTTGCCTAATAGAGTATACTACTACGGAAAAGCAGAACGTGCTTTAATTAACGAAGCAAGTAAACTTTCAGATATCGTGATTCACTTTATCAGCGTTTTGTTGGACAAACAACAAGTGAACTGGCAGCAGTACTTGTCTAATCGTCACTGATAGTTTGGAACCATTTCTGGTCCTTAACGAATCGGTCGTATCAAAATTGATGCAAAACACAATCATGAGTGGTGCAAACTGAGAGTTTACTTAGTCAAACGGAGGCAGAGCATTCCATATTGCCATTAACCTGGGGGTATACTGAACAAGGGATAATGGTGGGGAAAAGTGCGTTTAGCTGTTGACTGAGTGCCGCAATTAGATTGAGAAATCGCTTTTGGGGATAAACGTTGACCTTCAGCCAAATTTTCAAGATCGCATCTTTGGTGGCTTAATTGCGTGATGACGAGATAAGCGCTGTGTATGCCTAATCAGAGGAGCATGAACAAGTCTGTCATGCGTATCTGAAGGGATTCGGAGTCAGCCATTCCCCCCCCCCCCCAAGCTGTCTCTATGTTATCACCTAGACGTAGTCCTTTTCAAACTATCTCTGAAGACGTGACCAAAATGACGAACTGCACTGCCATTTTGCTATTGCGTCACTTGTCGATAATTGCGGCGCCATTTACTCATTGTCTCATGTTACCACACTTGCGCGTGTTTAGATGAACTTGACGTCGTTGCGTAATCTCAAAATCACTACTAAAGTGCTTTTAGCCAGACAGCTTGGTTTGAGTTGGTGGTCCTTCCTTCAAAGGTAAGCATTAAGGCATAAAAGGAGATAGAGTTGGACAGACGGCACACGTTGCTTGTTGTCAACATTGCAGTCGTCTAATTTAGGCATGGTTCCGGTGGTAGAACTGATCCACTTTAACTAAGAAGTAAATGGCGAATACGCGTCGCCAACGGTACACACAACGGGTACTTCAAAGTCCGACTAAGAAGATAACGGCAGTCATCGGACTGACGATTGATAAAGTAAATTTTGATGCGCTCGCGGTTCTTGGGCGTTTGACTCCCGACACCTCAGAAACCGAACGCTTACATGCTGTCGTATGGTGAATAGGTATTATCTGTAGAACGCCAAGCAAGGTAGATTTTCCCTGTGATTTGGATGGACCAAGTGCGTACCTGAACAAAATTGGTGACAGCGCTGAAGATTCACGAATATAAGCGAAGGCTTAAGACAATTGTAAAACATAGAAAGGTCGTTTAAATGCACATCCCCATCAGCGACTCTGCAAGAGAACTATCATTTTACCGCACAGTTCAAATTGTCAAACTCGAGTTAACATATAGGTGGGTTATAAGGTTGTAACTGACCAAAGCTGGGTAGGACTAAACCGAACTAGTGAGTAAAATCCTGTGAAAGTTTGATAGCATACACATTTTCTAAGGTTATTTAGTGCGATACCGGCCTCGGATATAGCATGTGCCTTATGCTCTTGAGAAACTAGTTTAGATCATTGTCTCATAGTGTGGAGATATGGTTGTTCCACACGATTTTCGAAGCGACGATGTGAAGTACATCAAGTTCTCAATGTGAATATATAAGGTATCTTTTCGTGGTTAGTGAACTTGAACAGCGACTCTTGACAGCTATCCAATCGTCTACTGCACAAAGAGCACGAGGGCGCATATAAGCTAACCAAACAGAATCGCAGCTATATCCGATTCCAGAAGGGCACACAGTTGGAGTTCCTCGAAGAACTACGAGTACTTTGCAGACACCACATTTCTTGGCCAACTTCGGTACGTATCTGTGTTAATGCTAGGACCTTGGGGTGTCGTATAAAGGCTGTAACTCGAGATTACTTTACTAGGAAGACCCATAGGCCAACACTCTGCCTGTTGAATTACTATAGTACAGCATATTTCAACTGCACTTTGTTGATGAAAGGCGTCGCAACTTAAAAAGCATGCTTGAAGTACATTGCGTTCTGTGTAAAATGGTGAGTGCAGTGTTTGCTGGCTCAAACTCGAACACCGGAGTGTTTCTAGTCCTTGTGTTGGGCCGACTTTTTCGAATTCCGGCTCCATACGTTGATTTGGCAGCTACTCAGTGATTTACTTCAATCCGGACTCCTGGAGGTCAATCCCATGGTAGGGTTCAGGTGGGCGATAACTGGCTAAATCATCGATGCTAATGAAAATAGAGCTCCGTCTTACTTGCTCCCAACATTGCATTCCAAGACCGATATCGCCCTACTTCGGACTCCTCAGATTGCGCGACGAAAGCCAACCACATGACGGATCCTCCGGAACTCAGTATCTAATCTGTACCCACAGTCCAAGCCATTTGTTGCCAATTTCATTGGCCTAGTAATCAAGGCGTCCGCCTTGATTACCGTACACCTCAGGTCCCAATCCTGGCTCCGGCCATCACACTGCATGATCAGTTTGAGTAAGGACGAAACCGGTCGCGGGGTGACGCGTCAAAAAGCGAGTAACACCGAAACCCATCCACCTCGGATGCGATCTAATTGATGGGAGTGAACGACGTGTACTTGAAAGTCAACAGACGTCCCAAAGGCGATTGTGTATCGTAATCTAACCACATAGCCGGTACCTCGAAGTGCAACTTTGAATTCCTAACCGCTGTGTGAAGCGTTGATCGAGGGTCGCAGTGGCCTAGTGGTCATTGTGTCAACAGTTAATTATTAGGTCTCGAGTTGCACTCCCATCTCCGATGGTTTACCTGAAGAATTCAAACGAGGAGGTAACCGGTTGTCGGGCGTTAGTATTGAGAGGAATAACACCGAAACTCGCCACTTCAATGCGGTTCCCGTAATCGGAATGACTGAGGTTAACTTCAATGTAAACAGTAGTCCCAACTGAGATTGCATCGCAATCCAAATACAGCGAGTACTTTGAAATTCAATAATGAGAACACAGCTCAACAGTTTGAAATATGCCGGAAACAGATAGAGAACTTATGATTTCAGAAGGGATTTCAAATACCGATTCTTTGCCTGGTTGTCAGAGACTTATCAAGGAAAATGAGCGGGTAAACCTGAGGTATTTTACACTATTGACCAGGTGTAATTGCTCAACTCATCAAGCTACCGAAGGTCGAAAACGGAGAGGGTTTACCATGCTTGGATATACAGTGGCCACGCTTACAGCACAGAAAAGGACATGACGGACGTTCTCTTCTTTAAAGGGACGAAACGAGGGGCGACTTCTCACTGGTTCCAAAGTTGAGTAGAACGTGAACTACAGTCCAATAGGGGCCTAATGTCAAGTTGCATTGGGTGGAATAATGAAAGAGAATGCAGCGATGAAGCAGTATATGTGTATTTGTTTCGTAAATTGGTTGCTTTCAACGTGCAGATCTATGTCCCTACACGCGAGAGAAGCATGAAGAAGTACTTCCAAGGGTACACCAGATGAGAATTCTTTGAATTTCTTGGTGTGATACGACGCCTTGGATTAAAGCACCATAAACCAAGAACTATTGGCCGAAGTAGGTACAAAAAGACTGCCGTGTAGCCAGCTGAACATCCTGCTCGGAATGCAGATGAGATCAGTCGCAGACTTCATTGGTTCCCTTTGGTTACTATAATGGATTTCTACATTGCATATTAGAACTCCTTTTTATTCAGCATAGCACACACTTAATTCCATTTTTGAATGGTTGGTAGGAAAGCAAGAAGAACTAGGGGATCTTTAGTGCAGAGCTGACAGATTTTTAGCTATCTTAATTTGGACCTTGACGAATAAGTAATCTAGGGTCAGAAAATAAGTGGCGATGGTAAATGGATACAGCGTAAGTGTCGAGGTAATAAAGTAGGAACGATAGTACCAGCGCAGAATCAGGTAGATATAGACGCGGAAGATGGTAGGCTTACTTTTTCCCGCCAAAATAACTGCAACTCAGGGTAACCTGAGGCATAGCACGTAGCCGTTGCTGTCTCATTCGGTTTGACCAGCACAACATCCGTTATGTCGTCGATCGAGACGGGCACTGGGTGAAGATAAAAGTAATACTGTACTGAGTTCGGCAGCGGATATATATATATATATATATATATATATATATATATATATATATATATATATATATATGGTGCGGTAGTAATTAGTTGGCATGCCTCAAGTACAGCACATACACCGGTGAACACTGATTATATCAAAAAATATATCATAGGGTGGCGTCGTAGGAGTAGGTTTTGCAGATGTATAAATAGACTAAACTAAAGTGTCAAAATATCAGACTAAATTTAGGCGGTTGATTAAATCTGTCCCATGTTATTCGAAGGTAAATAGGAATATTTTAAGTATTACCCGATTTGATCTCCGACCGGCGGATTACCGCGGGTAGGTCAGAAAATTGGGATTGGTAAAGGTCCAGCAGAATTTCTACATACGATAGGTTGCGTACCTAAGGAAACATCCTTATGAGAGATGGTATATTCATACTGTGCAGATGGCTGTTAAACAGGTTCTGAAAGGCATTTGGGATATACTGCGAACCTAAAGCGTGACAGTCAATGAAAAGCGTAATCCCTTTCAAAACCTTAGTATACTCATGGCTCTATCCACGCGCAGTGATATTGATAGCCGTGTATGCATTAAGTTATAGAAAGGGTATGAATCAAGCTTAAGGCTCAGAAGCTGTTCCAGGTCATTGGTCTTTACATGACGATAGTCGTAGTGTTTAGAGGATGCACAGAAGTAATGTATCTCGACAAGGATCTAACAATTTCAAATTCACTGTGAAATACACGAAAGGTCAAACAAAGTATAGGGATGCAGAGTCCTTTGGTACATACCATATAATTTAACACGTATAATCCCCTGCTGAGTGACCGCGCCAATTCCCCTTCCTGCAATCACTTTACAGACAAATTCTTCACCGTCATCCGCCTGAATCGATACACCGGTTTCTTTTTGAACGCATAGATCGCTGGAGCTTTTGTCCAGCGGATCAACCATCCAGCCAGGCTTCTTGGAAGCGAATTCGTTCTGGTTTGCTTCCATCCTTTGAATACCATGTTCTTCAGAAAACAACATTGTTTGTAGGCGATATCCATCATTTGACAATATCAGAAGTTCTTCATCTGAGTTTAATGGTAAAATGTGTGAATGAAATAGGACGGTGAAGCTGCTTTGAAAAATGCGTAACTGGAAACAATGAAACTCAAATCATCGGTCGAATGTGTTCCGAGCTTGCGCATAGCACAAACACACGTTTAGATTTGAATTAACTCGGTAGATTTTGGCAATGATAAGTCAGAAGCTACTCATCCAACTAACGTTATGCGGCTGGACCCTGCAAAATATTTGGTGGTAGTTATTTGCTAGTACCAAAACAGGTTTGATAAAGCTATGTATGAATTCCTTGAAAGTGACTAATCATCACAATACGACTGCTGCGTTAGATTTTTAAAGTGCATTTCACCTTAAATATGTTTTGGGACGGGGTTTTAAAAAAGAATTCCTAAAATATCCCATTGAATTGGGTTAAGAATGTCCTCTCATGCAGTCCAGTCACTAGTTGTTCTGTCAAATAAGTAGCTCATACCATGTGTTTCTGGAAAGTAATGAGACCGATCACCTTGGCAATTGGAATGGCCAAATGGTGGAATATATGCAACTGCGACGGTTGATGGCCTGGAAGGGTGCTAACTAGACGATATATTGCTAGTGCGCTAGCTCTGAGCGTTTGGAGATCACGGACCGGTTGCGAAGTGAACACCTGTATCTACATCGCATAACAGTTAAGATGCAGAGACATGCCATAGTAAACAAGTTTAAAATTTGCATCCGAATAGGACGCTGTAATCTCCCTAACCTAGTGGGGATGCATCGTCGAAAACACACGTTGTGTTTGGCGACACAGTGGCCTCAAAGAAGGAAAACAGAAAGCTGGAGGTGAAAAACAGAACTCACCCACTCATGTATCCCTGGGATCAAACTAGATTCTAGTGAAACCAACCGTGGCGACGCTGACTAAACCTACTTAGGGCTAAAAATTGGACCCAGATGACCTCTTGTTTCCCCAGTGAAATCCTTTTATAAAGGACATCTTGAGGCTGTTAAAAACGCACATGCTACCGTGAAGAGTGAATCAAAAGTGAGCCCTGTTCAAGGATCACAGGCAAGCTGCGAAGAGTCGCCGAAACGCTGTTAACGGTATGTATACGGTCAGGATGTCATTTGAATAAATTTATAGCGTTAATTAAAAAAACGGATTTTATGGAATTATTTTCATTATTCTCCGGACAGTCCACGTGTGTACTTCTATCGAAGGCATTGGTGAGCCTTGTAGGTTTACTAAAGTCACTGGCCCCAAAAGAATGCAACCGGAAGCAAATGTCCATATCTGTAAAAGATCAGTTAGTTCTGGGCAGACTTTGAAGACACTGCACCATAAGGTTGTTAACGAGACCATAAGAAATTGATGGTGCTGAGACGTAACTCTCGATTCGTAGCTAAGGAATAAGCTTCACTGAGATCTTTTACCGATTTCCTCCAATCTGGATGATATCAATGTGGCAATAAGAGAGGCGTACCATGGTTATAACCACTAGGCTTGCTGATTTCTCAAAGTACTTGGGAAACGTTTGTGATCACAAGTATATTGGATACCGTGTAGCTCAGTTATTTCAAGTAAGCGAACATTTTCAAGCAAGCCTGCGGTCTGCATTTATATATATATATATATATATATATATATATATATATATATATATATATATATATATATACGGTTGGCGGCATCCGGTTTTGGATTTGCCAGTCACTGTGGCCAGCCACAGGACGCTTGCACCTACAGGGGGACCATGGATGACTTGCGCTGAACCACCCACAGCTACAACCACATACCCCATATCCAGTGTAAACCCGAAGGAATAAGACCGGGAGGCATGTGGATGGGAACTACGTTTCATCAACGGAGCCAGCCTACACTCCTTCACAGGCAACCACAAGCACGCTGTATTTGGGGAATCAAGCGTACACAAGCCGGTGGCTGGACCGTAGTCCGCTCCACACTGAGTGCATGGAATCACTCTTCGGCCACAAGGACCGTGCACCCCGTCCCCTCCAGCAACGACCAACTGTCTGCTGGGGCCAGTGTGGACGAGGCAGTGGGTAATAGACAGGTGGGCACCTTGTCAACCTGCACATCATGCACAGCCACACCGGGGATATCAAACAACAGCCAATCACTTGAAACGCCAAGATGAAATAAACTAAATCCATTAATGCATGCAGATACGGTGGCATAACTCTTCGCTAAATTAGCATATGAGGTAAGTTGGTTAGCAACAAATCCGCGATAAGGAGAAAAGGTCCACAAGTTACTTAAAAATGCTACAAACGCAACAAAGTTACCGGAGATAAGCGTAATTAGCGTAAGCAAAGTGGCCAGTTAATAGAAGTATATTCAGGTAGGCGGAACAGACCAAAGTGGAATGAAATTTATCTAGCTTCAAAAGACCCAGTTTAAGTGTAAGTTGGTTTAGCCCAACTGCGGTGAAGAAGTATCAAGAATATATATATATATATATATCCATTGTTTGGGTGCGGGAACTCTTGTCCGTGAGACAACTATCCGTATGTTGCTGTTTGTTGACGATTGTGCGTTGTTTGCACACAGCGCGGATGAGTTGCAGCACATGACTAGTGCTCTGGCTTCGACAGCGGCCAAATTCGGGATCACTATCAACATAAGCAAAACTGTCTGTCTCTTTCAGCCTTCACCGGAGGTGCAATCTTCAATATTGCCGCGAATCAGCATTAGTGCTGAAGTATTGGAAACCACATCCCGCTTCTGCTACTTTGGGAGTGTGATGTCGACTGACCAGCAGCTACACAGTGAGCTGCGTATCCGCGTGTCGAAGGCAGCGGCGGCATTCGGAAAGCTAGAGTTCCGAGTGTGGAACAACCATCAGCTTACCATTGGCACGAAGCTGATGTTGTACAAATCCATGGTGCTGTCCGTTCTTCTATACGGCAGTGAAATGTGGACGATGTACCGTCGGGATATGCGATATCTCGAGCGGTTCCATCAGCAGTGTTTGCGACGGATTTTGCACATCCGTTGGGGCGACAGAGTTGCTGACACAAAAGTGTTGCGACAAAGTGGGATGTATGCAGTGGACTGCATACTTTTGCTGAGATAACTGAGGTCATGTGAGCCGTATGGATTCGATGCGGATACCGAAACAACTCTTATATGGCCAGCGGTATTGGGAAGCGGCATGCGGGGAAACCAAAGTTACTTTACCAGGACATGGTCAAAGTGAGCCTCTCACGTTCTAATCTTGATTGCAGATCATGGGAACCGAAGGTGGTTGATCGGCGTGCATGGCGCTATCTAATCACAAAGGCAGTTGCCGAAGTGAAGGAGAAAGACTTCATACATGCAGAGAAGAAGCGGCAAGCACCGATGGGTTGTACTCCATCGACATGGAGCGCATGGTGCTGTAGCACATGCAGTACCGAGTGCCTGAGTCAGGCAGGTTTAGTGAGCCATGAGTGAGGCCACTCGAGACCACTACCGAAGCGACGACGGGTCCCGCAGAGAACGTAGACAGAACCGGCGCAGCGTTTGTAGGTACGCTCTATTTGATTTACTAACCGCGTGCTTGAATGCTAAGTCTATTTCAGATGGTGGGTTTTCAATCTTGTCCTAATTCTTTTCTTTCTCATCTAAATGTCTACCAGTACTCTCTTCTATAAACTTGCACACGTCGCTTAAGCCAATTGTAGTTAATTTCGATAACATTTTTTTATTGTGGCATTTCCTTAAATATACTTTCTGACCTCGTGAACTTCTCTCTGATGCGTTTGTAAACAACTTGTTTCATATACTCATTATTTTAAGATTTAGGTCACCGTTTCCTTATGCATTAGTCAATTTATTTTATTTGTTATCTTTCTCTCAAGTGATTGGCTGTTGCTTGATATCCCCGGTGTGGCTGCGCTTGATGTGCATATTGACAAGGTGCCTACCTGCCTATTACCCACTACCTCGTCCATACTGGCCCCAGCAGATAGTTGGTGGTTGCTGGAGGGAGCGGGGTGCACGGTCCTTGTGCCCCGGCTAGGCTCAAAGAATGGTTCCATGCAACCTATGTGGAACTGGCTACGGTCCAGCCACTGCCTTGTGTGCGCTTGATTCCCAAATACAGCGTGCTTGCGTTTGCCTGTGAAGGAGTGTGGGCCGGCTTCGTTGATGAAACGTGGCTCCCATCCACATGCCTCCCGGTCTTATTCCTTTGGGTTTACGCTGGACATGGGGTGTGTAGATGAAGCTGTGGGTGGTGCATCCTAATTAATCCATGGTCCCCTTGTAGGCGCAGGCGTCCTGTGGCTGTCCTCGTGGAGGCCGCAGCGACAGACAACTACGGAACCGGATGCCGTCAACCGTATCGCAATCCAACCACACAGCGGGTACCTCAAATCCAATTTTGAAACCTGTACTGTTCTTTGTTGTCATGCATGATTAAGTTTCGAGCACGAGGAAGTGGTGCTTCTGGTCTGGCTACCACGCTTAGCTAACGTATTCCAGTTGCGTCCTCATTCACACGCCAAGTAGCTGCGGAAAGATTGAAGCGTTCAACTTTCTCAAGGCCGTACGCAGAAGACCGAAGTGCGTTCTTTGATGCTGACTCGATCTGTCCCAAACAACCAAGGTATTCTTATAAGAGCACGCCGAGAGAGCTCTCATGAGAAGCGCGCTACATAATTTTTGGCACTAGCCAGTAGTTGTTAGTATTCTGATGGCGGGTGCTTAGAATTTTGTCACGTTGAACTGAGGCATATTCTCGGTGAGCCATGCGTATGCTCTATCCAAATTATTTTTCAGCCCTTGGTTATCTTCCATCGTGGTAGTAGCACACCACATTTCTAGGTCATCGGCGATTGGCAGCAAATTTGAACAGTAGTAGAGCACATGTTGAATCCAATCAGTGTTTGTTACAGATCCGAGTTTCTCTCAGCAGCCGCAGTACCAGTCGCTAACGTCAACCTCAAGTTCTTCGACACTTGGGGTTGGTTGTTGATAGGAGTCGTCTTAACTTTTGTCGATCCTACGACTTTTGGAGTTAAA